TTGCATAAATTTGCATATTCCTTGTGAAAACACTGGTTTCCTCGTTAATAGTGTTTTAGTAATAAACTAGGTACCCCTATATTGATCCAAGACATTTGTGTTCTCCTTGACCTTCCAAGTAGCCTTTCCCTCAGTGCAGTGCCCTCACAGGTCATAAATGGATTTAACAGCCACCCCTACAGTTGGCACTGTAACAATTTGTAAGTTGAGTTGTTGTTGTTGCAAAGATGTTGTACAAAGTAGACTACAAAATGCATTGCACAGGTGCCTAAAATATGGTTACTTTTATTTTGACAAAATTATCCTTTTTTGGCTCATCATATTTGTTATTATTTTTCATGAAAATTCATTGGTTTCTATGCATGCTGCATTTTATCCCAAATTCTTTTGAGAACGTAATCACTAACCTTGCAGGAGTATTATGTTGAATACTGATTTCCAAGACTGCAAATTATGTTATTCCTTTGTTATTATTTCAAAAGATTGTAAATGTAATATGTAAACATATAATGTAAAATAATTGGAATGTATGTCAACAGTATTCAAATTAATATGCATATTTATGCAAATTAGAACACCTATGACCTATTTTGGATTGTGGAGAACACTGAATATTAATGACTCAATCATGAGTTTAATAATAGAGTAACATTTTTCTTTCTTTCTTGTATAACAGCATATTCCTTACAATAGTGTACATGCACACCTGTACTTAATACCATCACAATATTTCATTATGTATTCACCAATGTACCTCAGTAATATGAAAGTAGAGGTACTGTATGTGGTATGCTCCAGTCACACATTTGACTATGAAAGTTCCTTGCAATCTTTCTGTTGTCTTGAAGTTTGGATAATCAAGTTACAAGATGCATTATGTTCTTAATAGATCACAGAACTGCTCAACGTGTTTGATAGCTGTACTAGCGTTAAGTGGAAGGGCATATGCACAAATCAGTATACCATAGGGTAAGTTACAAACAACAAGTCCACGCTGATTACCATGTGATGCTGCATATATACTGAAAATAAACATAATACAATCAGTAAAATATGGTAATTACAGTAAAAAAAAGTAATTGTATTACATAGTCTCTGAGTTATCACAAAGGTATTTCATGAAAAAACTTCTCAGACTTGCACACATACATGTATGTTCAACGCAAGTTTCAATCTCTCCACACACAACTGAGGATCCAGTTCCGAAATAGGAAAAATGTGTTATTTTTATGCATTTTTGGCAATAAATGTTGCTATTCGGCCATATTCGAATGGGAAATAAAAAATCATAAAAAAATTGAATCTAATCACAAAACCATAGAAACCAACCATTGCTGAGAAAGTATAAACAAGGACCCGCCTAACCACCCAGCTACATGTAGGGACAACACTCAATCCATTAGCCCTTTTTTTGGCTGTGCTTAATAGGGGGTAACAAAGACAGTATAACTTCAATGTAAGTTGGTGAGTGAGGGGTTTTAGTTTATAGCATGAAGAGTGTGTATGAGATTTCACATGGTTTAATGTAAGATACCTGCAGTGAGTTTTTTTGTAAATCTCAAATTTGTCCGTCTCATCTTTTTGCAGAGAAATCATGAATCCTTTCTCCAACACTTGCTGTTCCTGAGTTGATGATGTTGTGTTGAATAAACTCCCAAACTGCTGCCAGTTACCCTTTATAAAACAGACATAGAGTTTAATGAAGACAATATAAACACAATAAATAATAGATTGGTATATGCATGAATGTACTTACAACACATTATGTAAGAGATAGATGTTGTGTCGTATGTACATTGTGTA